TTCTAGGCATCTTGATCACGTGCTTCTTAGCTTTTGTACCCAAAAGGCCCTCCAAAATTGAAACCAATTTCCCCACGGGCACTGGAGACGTGTTGCCCAAATTGTAAATTCTCAGCTGGGCAGGCCCTTTCTTTTTGCCCCCGCTGCCCGTGCTTTTTTCCGCTGTGTCCAGTGCCCCTAGGCACCCCTTTACGACGTCGTCTATGTAAGTGAAATCACGTGCCACTTCCTTGTCGTCCACTGTTTTGTACACGTCGATTGGCTTGCCTTGCAGTATGTCCTTGGTGAAAAAGAAGTAGGCCATGTCGGGTCGGCCCCATGGACCGTATACGGTGAAGAACCGCAACCCGGTTAGGGCGAGGCCGTAAATATGGTTGTAAGTGTGGGCAATTTCCTCACCGGCTTTTTTTGTCGCGGCGTACAGGCTGGCCGGTTGGTCTGTTCTGTGGAGCTCCGAAAATGGATTTTCTGTGTTGAGTCCGTAAACCGAGCTGGACGACGCCCAGACAATCGACGGCTGAGGATTTGCTCTCTTCGCAACTTCCAGAAGGTTTACGAATCCGGCAATGTTGGAGCTCACGTAAGACTGCGGGTTCTGCATAGCGTACCGTACGCCCGCTTGCGCGGCCAAGTGTAGGATGTGAGTGAAAGGGACGACATCAAAGAGCTTCGTCAGCAGCGGCTCGTCGTTTAGGTCCCCCTCCACGACGAAAACCTCGTGCCTCTTCAGCAGGGCCTGCCGGGCCCGCTTCAACGACGGGTCGTAGTAGGAGTTGAAGTTGTCGAGGCCCAGAACTCCGTCTCCCCGCTTCTTCAGGGCGAGGGAGCAGTGGGTCCCGACAAACCCGGCAGCACCTGTTACCAGAACAGACATACCGTTGGGCCGCTTGGGAGTGGACGAATGACGCACCTGCTTCTCCCAGGCGGTCCCGCCCACTCCTCCGCCGTAAAAAGCAGAGGAGAGGAAATTGTGGGTGGTGTGGACGTGGTGGGCCCCGCCGCCCATATGTTCTGAGAGGGGAGGGTAATTGATGGTGAAGAAGAAGATGAGGACGAGAGCGACGAGGAGGGTGGCTCGGAAGAGGAGCTTGGAGGAGGCGTTGAGAAGCTTGGTGCTGTTGACTCTGCGGAGGTAGCTGTTGTAGCGCTCCAGCTTTATGGTCTTGCTTGTATCTGGAGGAGACGCCATTGCCGCAAATATTCCAATATATCAAATCAAAAGTATACCAAATATACCAATTTTCTGTGTAATAAAAACACAAGGGCTTCTTGGGTTTGAGAGAGCAGACAGATAAAAAGACAAAGGGACTCAGAGCTTGAACTTCGAATGAGCCCTGAATCTGTGAAGAGTGTGGAAAGATTAATATAAAGATGAGAGAGAGGAAGAGAGAGAAAGGGGTTGGTGTTGGTTGGAGACCACTTTCTTCATCTTTTCTTAATTACTCGTTTACAGATAGAAAGCGAGAGCTGCAGAATTAGACAACGAGACGAGATGGTCCCTCGTTATTACAATTATTACGTAAACGCCACTTGATTACTGAAATTGAAAAATTGAAAATGCCAGCTATCTTTATTTGTACGAAAAAAACCCCAGACCATGTGATCCACGCGCTTCCAGGTTTGAACGCTCTGGTCTGATATGTCCCTGTGAGATGAGTGTAGTGTTTCAAAGTAGGGAAATCAAATTAATTAAGCCAGAATTTAATTATGTTTGAACAAATAATTAAATTAAATTAATTTGGAATTAGTGGGAAAATGCCTCCTCCTTCACTTCACCCCTTGTTAATTAATTAGTTTCGAGATCAAGGAAGGAGTGCTAATTATGGAAAGAGTATTATTAGAATAATCACGTGGATGTGTCTCCATTATTAAATAATTTAATTTCTTTGATAAGGTCAATGGGATCAAAGTAATTCTATGGTTTATATCCCAGTTTTCCCAATCCATGTCTCAGCCAAAGGAGAAAGAAATCAAATAAGAAAAAGGCGGATTGGGACGTTTGTTATCGGTAAAACTATTATGAGAGAAACGTTGTACACACTCGTTTCGTGTTAATAATCTTTGACGGTGATCTTATTTTAACAGTAAAACTATTTTCAGGAATTAACGTTGGATTTTTGTGTGCTGTAATATTCAGTATTTACCATGGAAGTCAAAGCCAACAAGAGATGACAAAAGATAGGGGAAACGAGTCCTAGTCGGTGGTCTCAATTATAATCAAGTCATGGCTTTTTCTATTGGTGAGCTGGAATCAAGTCTCTATTCAATTTACAAAGGATATGCGACACTTCCCCAGCATCTTCGCTTATACATTTTCCTCCATGTAGGATAGGACTGATGGGAAGAGAAGAAACCAATGGCATGGAAATTAATCCATGAAATGAAAGTGATAAAAAAATCCAAATAAATACTGAGAGGGGATTTTAATATTTATTGTTGTCAAAATTATGGGAGAGTGATATGGAAAATGAGTTTGGGCAATTCCTTAATAACCCTTTTTTTTAATTTATTTATTTATAAAAAAGTACCGTTTAAGGAATCTTAGTCTCATGATCAAATTGCAGGACCATTGATTACTCATGTGATCTCAAGATTAAGATGTCTCAATCATGAATTCAGTACTCATTTCAAATGTAATCTCTGACTTTAATCTTATTTTCTAATAGCTATCATGTCGGGAGATAAGTAATTGTTATGTGGATCTTTAGTTTTTGCCTATTGAAATTTTCTTCTTTTTGTAATGAAAGACAAAATTTTATTTTATTTTATTTTGATAAACCATCAAGTTTCATCCACAAAGGGCCAAATACAAGAACACCAAATCAAATTGACCTTTCTTGTGATGTGATTACACGGTTGTTTTAAGATGGCCCATATGGTGAAAAAATTGTATTCTTGGGAGTCGTTTGCTACACAGGACTGTCTTGATATGTACTATACTCAGAGATTGTTTTGACTTGACTTAGTCTAAATTGGATAATACTTATTTTGCGTTTGATGTATGCTTGGACTAGGACTAGATTTTTTTATTTTTCAAAGTATATATATACATATATATATATGTATACTACATATATTATATATTATATATTATATATTTGTGTATATTCCTATATATATACCTGTATATTATAATATATAATATATATATATTGGTATATTATAATAATAATATACATGTATATACATATGTATATTATATATATATATATATGATATATTATATAATATGTGGGTATATACATGTATATGTGTATATATGTATATAATAATGGGTATATATGTATACATGTATATGTGTATATATTATATAACATGTGGTCATCATTTGGCTTTTATACTTACTCAATATGTGGTGTTCACATGTTAGACTTGAATATTTATCCCTACCCCTTACCCAATAACTAGTGTTCACGTGTTGGGCTTAAATAATTGACTTTGATGTGGACTTGGCTCCACGTGTGACCCACTATATGGTGGTCCCACATGAGGGGGCGTGTTGAAGAATGTAAGTCCCACATTGAAAACTTGACTAAATAAAATAAAATATATAATGAATGGTTCCATTACTAATATTACTGAGGCCTTTTGTGATAAAACTTCATACCCACTGAGCTTTGTAGGTGGTTAAGTTGGGGACAATATCAGTGTTGTTAATAGTGGGCCAATGACCTGTCAATTTAACATGATATCAGAGTGGGTTTATTGTCTAAGCCTGAATTACTGGGCCTTTACCATTATCCCTTACTCAACATGTGGTGTTCACATATTGGGCTTGAATGTTTTACCCTTACTCCTTACCCAATACATGGTGTTCACGTGTTAGACTTGAAAGTTCGCCACACGTGTGGGGACGTGTTGAGAGTGTTTGTCCCACATTAAAATGTTAAGGGACTTAGCTTGGGTTTATAAGGATTTGGGGTACTCCCTGTATTGCCAATTGATTTTAGGATGGAACCTCCACTTCCTTCAAGTTTGCCTAATAATAAGCGGGTATTAGACCCAAAAAATCATAAACTGCTATGTATAAGTTTGATTACAAATTAGGAACAAAACCGACCTAACCCAACCTGTGCCACCCCATATGCAAAACTGGGGTTGGCGGTTGGGTGTAATGGATGGCAGGTTAATATATGGTTGGCAGCTAATGATGTCCTTTGTTGTATCCCAAAAAATGATTTTGCCTATGCAACAGAATATCTTGCATTGGTTAATATACACAAACTCTATGACCTTGACTAAATTGAAAACACAATGATTGAGTCGGTGAAAAAGATAAAATAAGGGCTAAAAGAGGTAGGTATTTAACCTTCCATCGCCAACAAGTTACTTACAAACCCTAACTTTGCAAATTATTTTCTTTTTTATTTTCTAAAAAATCTTATTAGCTTAGGGCCGGTTTGAGATTGTTTCAGTAAGATTTCTCCTCATGAGCATTTTTATTAAATGGACATCAAAATTCTTATTAAAAATTCAATTGCTCATTGGAAAAGCAATTAGAAGTGATTCCTAAAGAAGCATCAAGAAAGTGCTTCCTGAAGAATGACCTAACATGTGTTTTGCAAAACTAATTTAAGTGTTTAGTCATTCTGAAAATAATTTGGTGTGGGATATTGCTTGCTTCCTTTTTCTAGAAGGAGATATTCCTCTTTCCTGCAAGTCATGGTTTGACACATGTACAAAAATACTTCATAAAAAATACAGAAGAAAAAACTTTTATACACATATCAAACTACCATTAACAGAAATGCAGGGAAGGAGGGAAGTATTCACATGTTTCTCCTTAAGCTCGCCAACAAAGAACCATAATACATGAAATTCTAAAGGAAATGAAAATAGTGTGGTTCATTATGTAAATAACCAAGACTTGTTGGCCAAATTGTAGCGAATGTGGCATAAAGACAAAGCCAATCACTAACTTACAGTTTTTTCCCACTGAGCTCAGAAAATCCAGCTGCTGCATGCTCGATCAGCTCTGTATGTTCATCATCCAAGTCAAAAATTTATGTCATTCTCAATAAAAAAAATGAAGTGAAAAATTAATGAATTGGATAATATCCCATTAATTATACGAAATAACTACAAAGGCATGATGTAAGGTTCGTCTACCATTGGGACCCTCCTAATGTCCTTTTCTATTAGAGAAGACATGCCGGGTAGGAAGATATAAGGGAAGGTTCGTAGGGTACCTTGGAATGGAATGGAGGGTCTCTCTGGCATTATTGCTAGGGTAGAAGTCAGTCTCTCCCTTTAACACATGGGGCAAGAGAGGGGAAGAGAG